AACAGCAGCAGCACCCTTCGGTGACAGGGGGGCAGCAACCCAACCTGTGGTTACGCCTCCTGCAGGGGTTGTTGTGGGGAGAACTATGAGAATATGGGGCGAGGTTGTCGGCAGAAATTTCCTAATGTCAAGCATAAAGATTTCATCACTCATACAGTGCTCACGCAAAGTCCGCCCCCCCGTCTCACCTAAGTCCAACACTCCACCTCCCTCAGGTATGTCGTATCCTATAGCACATTATGTTAGTTGTGACAAATTTTCCGTGAAACACCGAAATTATATTGCAGCTGTTACAGCAGGGAAGGAGCCTACATCCTTTAAAGAGGCAATAACAGATGAAGGGTGGTGTAAGGCTATGCAAGAGGAAATTCGTGCCTTAGAAGATAATGGTACATGGGTTATGCAAGACCTTCCCCCAAATAAGAAAGCTTTGGGGTGTAGGTGGGTTTATAAAATCAAGCCCAAGTCCGACAGTAGCATTGAAAGATTGAAGGCTCGATTGGTTATCTTTAGCAATCATCAAGTTGAAGGTATAAATTATGATGAGACTTTTGCACCTGTAGCAAAAATGGTGACTGTTCGTGCTTTTCTGGCGATTGCATCCTCTAAGAATTGGGAACTGCATCAAATGGACGTACACAACGCATTTTTACATGGGGACTTAAATGAAGAGGTCTACATGAAGCTCCCTCCGAGATTTAAATCTGATTCTCCTGGTATGGTATATCGTTTGAAAAAAATCTCTATACGGCCTAAAACAAGCGCCTCGATGTTGGTTTGCAAAATTGGTTACCGCCTTGACGAGTTATGGATTTATGCAGTCATACTCAGATTATTCACTCTTTACATATACTAAGGGTGTCATACAATTAAATATCTTGATCTATGATGATGATTTGTTAAATTTTGGGAATGATTCCGCTGCAATTAAGGCCTTTAAAGATTATCTCAGTTCGTGCTTTCATATGAAAGATCTTGGAGCTCTGAAATATTTTCTTGATATTGAGGTTGCCCGTAGCTCTAAAGGGTTATTTCTTTCCCAACGAAAATATGCTCTAGACATTGTTAATGATACAGGTTTATTGGGTAGTAAGCCTGCACCAACTCCGATGATTCAAAATCATCACCTTGGGCGCGCAAATGGAGCAGTCTTAGATGACCCTGAGCAGTACCGTCGATTGGTGGGACATCTCATATACTTGGAAGTTACTCGTCCCGACTTAGCTTATGCAGCGCACATTTTATCACAATTTATGAATGAGCCACGACAAGAGCACTAAGAAGCTGCATTGCGAGTAATAAGGTACTTGAAGGGTACCCCAGGACAGGGAATATTACTTCGCTCAGATAGTGAGTTATCTTTGATTGGTTGGTGTGATTCTGATTGGGCAGCTTGTCCTATGACTCGGCGCTCTCTCACAAGTTGGTTGGTATTTTTGGGGAACTCTCCTATTTCCTGGAAGACTAAGAAGCAAGGCACAGTTTCTACATCATCTGCAGAGGCAGAATATCGCTCTATGGATGCGATCACTTATGAATTGAAGTGGCTCAAAGCTCTATTATTGAGTATGGGTGTGCATCATCCAAAGGCTATACCCCTCTATTGTGATAGTCAGTCTGCGTTACATATTGCCAGGAATCCGGTTTTTCATGAACGTACAAAGCACATTGAGATCGATTGCCACTTTGTACGGGATGCGATTCAAGAAGGTTTGATTGCTCCCTCATATGTTTCGACTAAGGAACAATTGGCCGATGTTTTTACAAAGGCTTTGGGCATACAATAATTTGAGCATTTACTTAGCAAGTTGGGCATTTGTGACCTATATGCTTCAACTTAGGGGGGTATTAGGAAAAGATATGATAGAATATATTTATTAGGCAAAGATAATTATTTGATATAATGTTAGGCTTATCTTAGGAAATTATAATATGTTTCCTAGTTTGATAAGGTTACGGACTACTTGTATAAATATGCTTTGATCATGAAATAAGAGAATCAAGCTTCTACTGCCTAATTCTTCTGACTTTTACAATATGCAATTGATTGTGTATTTAAATATAAAATATGATAAAAATATATGTGAAATTATAAGTTGGGACAAATTTAACAATGCATTACACAATATAATTTACAAGAAATATTTATAAATGAAGAAAAAATATAGTGAAAGTACCATACAAAATTTATATTAATCAAAAGGAAAATTTGCAAATTGCAGCCATTTAAAAAAAAATTGCAAATTGCAGCCCAAAAGTTCATATAAATTGTAAATTGCAGCCCGATTCAACTTTTTCATCGGTTTACAAGTTGAAAAATCTTCGATTAAGGTTTTAGGGGCCATTTTAGCTCTTAGGGGTCCGAATTGAGCTCGGAATTAGCAAAAAAAATAACGCAAGTATCTCGTTTTGCGTAACAAAAGTGTATCAATTTGTGGAAAACTGTAAATATGAGACACTTACGTCATTTTTTTGCTAATTCCGAGCTCAATTCGGGTTTCTAAGGGCTAAAATGACCCCTAAAACCTTAACCGAATATTTATCAACGTGTAGACCAATGAAAAAATTGAATCGGGCTGCAATTTACAATTTATACGAACTTTTGGGCTGTAATTTGCAATTTTTTTTTAAATGGCTGCAATTTGCAAAATACGAACTTTAAATGGCTGTAATTTACAAATTTTCCCGTTTAAAAAATAAAGTGATTGTAAAACCAATCAACTCACGCACCATTGCATACAACTGATAGTATGTACTATGTAGTACCTAATTAACAAGGTACAATCAGTGGTAATTTGGTTAATATGCATTAAAAGCAAATTGATTTGTGTTAAATTAAATTTGCTCATTTGAATCAATTGAACAAAAATTTTACAAGGGTTAGTGAATTTATAGAGGGATTATAAATATAAGGAGTTTAGAAAATGAAAAGGAAATAAGATACGGAGTATACAATAAAATATACGTAGTACAATAAGACGAATCAAACAGAAGATATAGAATAACGAGAATTGAATTTATGATCAAAATTTGACGAAACTTTTGGCCTAGGAGCAAAAGAATTATACAAATTTTTGTATGTGGCTGGCCACATGGTGGGACAGGGGTTACTTGTAGGGAATTACTTGTATTGTGGGGTTACTTGTAGAGTGTTACTTGTATTCTAGGGTTACTTGTATTCTAGGGTTACTTGTAGGGTGTTACTGGTTTTGATCATGGGTTACTTGTAGAGTGTTACTTGTTTGCTATGAGGGTTTTGTTTGGGGTTATTAATATGGGTTACTCAGAATACAAGTAACCCCAAAATACAAGCAATACCTACAAGTAACTCATAAAGTAACCCAAAATACAAGTAACCCTTGACAAAACCATTAACAATCTACAAGCAGTCCCTGCCGCACTTAAGGACCTAGGGAGGGAGTATCTTTGTACGATTAAAATTGCCTAAATTACAACAAAATTATACCACCTCCGTTTCTTTTTAGTTGACACGTATTCCTTTTTAGGAAGTTTTTTATTTGTTGACACTTTTCCTTTTGGGGTAGCTTTTTACCTTACATTTACAAGCTACCCCACTTGCTTTTTATTTAGTCTCACTTTCTCTCCTCTCCTTATTATATGTGCCTAAATTAAATGCGTCAACTAAATAGAAACGAAGGAAGTATTAATATAAAAAAAATAGGGAGGAAGTATGTTTGTACGATTAAAATTGCCTAAATTACAACATGATTATATTAATAATCTAAAGGGGTGTTTGGTAAGTGGGAATTGAGGGTGGGATCGGAAGTTTTAATCCCAATATAAAAAAAAAAAGCCTTGTTTGATTGGTGGGAATGAGAATAAAAAGAGGTTTGGGAATGAGATTATTTATGGGTGAATTCCCACCATTTTATTACCTAGAGAGGGTAGGTAATAACTGGATGGGAATGAGAATGAGAATAGGGTGAAAATGACATTTTTGCCATTAATGAAAAGAATGAAATAATAATCTTAATAAGGGTATTTTTATCAAATTGTTGTTTATTCCCTATATATTTCCACCCATTATCCAAACAAAGTATTGACATATTTTCATGTATTCCCCATCAATTAATTCTCAATCCCATTCCCACCTTTTAATCCCCAAACTAGTGTGTACCCCGGGCGATGCCTCGGGTTTCTAGTTTGTGTACTTCTTGCTTTAATTTAGCAATTATGTTCGATTATTTGTATAGTAAGTGTGTGAGTGGTTCGGGCGTTACCTCGGATGTCACTTTTTTTTTACATCATATGTTTTTATATTCTAATCTTGTGAAAAATAAATAAAGTATATTACCTTTATTTTACTTAATAAATGAAAGGAATATATAATATTATGTGCAACTTGAAACATTAATAATAATTGGTTGAGATGGTGAATGTATTACTTATATGTATTGGAGGTTATGGGTTCGAATCTTGTTTAAAGCATATTTTATTTCACTTAAATGACGTGGCTAGCTTACGTATCATTTGGATGATGACGTGGCATTATGACGTAGCACACATACTTTGAAGAGTACCACGTGGCACCGTGGAGTATCTTTGTACTCCCTCCGCCTACAATTATTTGCAACATTTGCCATAAATGGGTGCTTTCTATTATGTGCAACAATTTTTTATCTTTCCTTTTTTTAGTAAATTTTAAAGTGTAAAAAGATCATCTTACTAGACTTAAACATATGGGACCACTGTCTCTCTCCAATTTCCCACTCACTTTAACCCACTAACAAACTTAAATATATGAGACCACTTTCTCTCTCTTATTTCCCTCCTTTTTACAACTTAATTAAACCCACTTAAACTTAATTAAACTACACTAAAAGTTTTGCCTAGGAGTCCGCAAAAAGGACGTTTGATGCAGATAATCGTGGACGGAGGGAGTACCATTAAAATTGCCTAAATTACAATAAGATTATATTAATCTAGTCATGACTCATGAACTCAAGATATTTTAAAACATAAAAGACTAAACTACCCTTGTTATAGTCACTGACTACAAATGCTGAGGCCATAGTTAGTCAATCTCGCATATCAGTTGCATAATCTCCCAACTCATCATGGTACATCCTTTTCTCTTACTCCAAATTTTGATCTAATGTTCAAAAAATAATACAATCGTTAATTTATTAGTATTGAATTTCAAATTTCCTGCTTAATTTAAATTTTAGGTTTTGAATAATTTGCCGTTATTTTTTTTGAGGGTTTTTTTTTTTTTTTTTGCCGTTATTAAATGAATTTGATGAACATATAGGCGAATACAGAAGAAAGAGAAAAACCAAAATTGAAGCTCTACTCCTATTGGATGAGTTCTTGCGCCTGGCGTGTCCGTATTGCGCTCAATTTGAAAGGTCTCTCTCTGTTTTTTAATTTATTTTTTTTCAGAAACTAATTTGAAATTTGCAATTTTCTTTGAATAATTTTGGTATTCTGATTCTGTAAAATTATGGACTAATTATATTTCCCTTTTTATTTTTGTGCAGGGTTGGATTATGAGTACAAAACTGTGAATTTGCTAAAAGGAGATCAATTTAGTGACGGTGAGTTTCTGAGTGTTATGCATTGTTTCTTTTGTTTTGGGTATGTTTGGCGTGTTAGAAATTTACAATGATGGAAACAAAAGAAAATACTGAAAGAGTATACGAAGTAATTTCGTGATGATTTTTCCTCGAATTATTTATACATGTATAAAACTAAGTAGTGGTTTCAATGCTTATAGTTAAGCTACCAATAGGCTATTTAACATAAAGCAAGATTAACAGAATTCAGTAATCTATCACACCCCTGCAATTGTAAGCTTGTAACGAGAGGAACACGAACACTAAGACTATTCCGGATTTCATCAAATAAAAGAAGAGACAACCTTATGTCTGGCATGTACTTGTTTCATTTCATTAAATGAAAGGAAATCTATCTGTAAAAATAATTGTAGCAAAGTATTAGAGGAAGCAGTCAATATAATATCATCAACATACAACAATATATATGCCGTATCACACCTATTCCTGTAAATGAATAAGGAACTGTTTGATTTACTTTTAGTGAAACTGATGATGGAACAAAATCAACAAACCTCTTGTACCTTGCCTTAGGGGCGTGTTTAAGTCCATACAAAGACTTTTGAGTTAATAGACATTATGTGGATGTCCGAATCTCGAAGCCCATAGTTCAGTACATATTTACCATCTTTTTCAACTCACCATCTAGAAACATGTTCTTGACATTAAATTGATTAATTTGGCTTTTTTTTTTTATTTATTTTTTATTTATTTTTTTTATTTTAACAATGGAGATATTGTCCAAATGGTTACTAGTTTAACCACTTGACTAAATGTTTCTCCACAATTAATGCCAACCTATTGCGTTTTACCATCAACTATAAGATAGGCTTTATGCCTTTCAAATGAACCATCTGATTTTTCTTTACGAGTAAACAAACATAAAGAGAATGATGTTAACATCTGGTGGATGAAAGGCACTAAATCGGTAAATTCCATGTCTTATTTTTAAGTAGAGCATTAAATTTATCATCTATACCTAATTTTTAATTCAGGTCATAAAAGGCAGTTAACGGGTTACACAGGGTAGGAGGTTTTGTAAGTGTGGTATTATGAGCTTCATCTGTTTTATACTTTGGATGCTTATATATACTATATATTATATACTATATTGAATTGGGTTATCGGACATTGGTTTGTAATTTGGTGGGATGGGATGTAAATGTAATGTCGTGTGGGCTGTTGTTCGTCAATGTGTGGAGTAGAAGGTGCAGGTGGGACATGTGGATGCTGGCCCGCAATTGATTTTGATGGAGGAGATATTGTAGGTGTAGGAGCAGGTGGAAAGTGGGCTAGAGAAGGAGGGTGGTTGGGCTCTCTTTTATATGAAAGTAGGATGAAAAAAGGCCATGTTAAGAGTGAAGAGAAAGCATTTCAGGCTAGGGGTGAGTCTTCCTTTAAGGGGAAGATAGAAAATTCTGGAAATCGTGGAAGAGGCAGAGGTGGTTTCTGAGGTCGAGGTAGAGGTCGTGATAATGATTCCGGGCGTGGTAGAGGCCGAGTCCAATGTCGGTATTGCAAAAAATATGGGCACAAGGAGGTTGAATGTTGGTCAAAGCAGAGAGCTGAACTGAAATGAAAATAAGTTGAAGAGAACAGGTCCTAAGAGTGAATTGAATTGGATGTGAATGTACCTGACTTATCTGTTAATGGTGGGCTGGGCTGGTAGTACCGCATAGTAATCTGAGACAATGCCAATCAATAAATTGAGTGTTGTTTAAGAAGTTGCTTATTTGTTGTTGGGTAGCTATCACTGGATAAGTACAGAACAACGTTACAAGGTTCGCGGTACGGAGCCACGAATCGCGATCTGATTTGTGCGAACCGGAACGCGGAACAAACGCGACCTGGGTCGCTGGTGGTCGCGAACCAGAACGCTGAAGGTGGCGACTCCTAGTTGTGGCTGAGCAAACACGGTTGTTCTTCCTCTGCAACCTTTAATGGCTTGTTTCCCGACATTTTAATGCAGTTTTCTCTCTCTTTCTTCTTTCACGTGTATTTACTTATTTAATTTCTGAAGTTTTTGACTTTTTTTCTCCCTCCTCTCTCCTGATTTACCTAGCAGTAACATTTTTTTTTATATATGTGCACACTAAGGGTGGCGGCTAGGGTTTTGTTTTAATTGGTAAAAAGCTTAAAAGGCCTTAAACCTATATCTGTCTATCAACAACTTGGGCTTTTTTTAAATAAACAACTTGGGCTTTTTATTTTATTTACTTTTTTTTAGCAATCCACTCACCTAGATATAAAAATCTATCAATAAAAACCACCTATATAATTTATTTATTAATTTACTTATTTCGTACCCAATTGTACCGGATTCACCACGGGTAGCGTTCCGCGTATTCGTTTCCGTGCAACGTTTCGAATCGAATCCCGTCCCATGTAATGTTGGTACAGAACTGGACATCTATTTTATTACTGCAGATTTATTTTGGACAAGAAGATTGGTGTTGGATAACCAAAGCGTATAGAAATGCTAATATTTTAGTGGCAAACACAGTAATGGACATAGACGAAGTTAAGATCTATGGGGCGCTTGTACGTGTTGATTCAATGGATAAGGTGGCTGAGATTGAGGGAGCAGAAAAGGACAAGATGAGGGAGAAAGTGAAGAAGATTATTGGTCATGGAATTAATTGTTTTGTTAACTGGCAGTTAGTCTACAATTTCCCAGAGTAACTCTTGCTGATGCTGGAGTGCTTGCCATCGAGCATGCTGATTTTGATGGTATTGAATGTCTTGCTCTGGTGACTGGTGGGAGATTGCATCAACCTTTGATAATCCCGAATCTGTTAAACTTGGACATTGCAAGTTATTCTACAATGTAGTTGTTGTTAGTGACTTAGTGATAAGTTATTCTAGCTGTTAGTGGAAGTACAGGTCACTAATTTGTAGAAGTTCAGTTTGGAGTTTGTAATTTTCATTTCTTATTTAAAGCTTTGTATTTTGCTTTTGAGTGCAATGAACAATCAGCTTTCTTTGGTTTTCTCTCTTTAATTATTTTGCTTTGTTAGACATATTCTATTGACTTACCATGAAAATACAAGTCAACAAAATATGTTTAACAAAGCAAAATAATTAAAGAGAGAAAACCAAAGAAAGCTGATTGTTCATTGCACTCAAAAGCAAAATACAAGGGATTTAAATAGGAAATGAAAATAACAAACTCCAAACTGAACTCCTACAAATTAGTGACCTGTACTTCCACTAATGGCCAGAATAACTTACCACTAAGTCACTAACATTAACAGCAACTACATTATTTTAATCAAGAATCCTAAGCCTACCAACTTTCCTAATTAATAGGAACGGATTTTTACCATTACTCAACAGTTGGAGACTTGGAGTATGGGCCAAAGGAATTTAGGTCTCTGGAGTTGGATTAGTGGTGTTTTGATTTGTGGCATGCGAGAGTAAGAAGAAGCTTGAGATTGGAGATGGTAGTGTAAGTAAGTTAGTAAGAAGAAGCTTGAGATTGGAGATGGTACTTTTAGTGTGCTATTGCTTTTGTTGTGACCCTTGGCTGAACATGCTAGGTTGCTTGGTCTGCCCAAATTGCTTACCCCATGGTTGAGTTGGATAAGAAAAAGGAGGCACAACACAAGGTGGTATTTGCATCCATGCTCACCACAGAAAAGGGAGGAGGTTGCTCCCTTGACCTTGTCTTCTTACTTTTATACCCAAAATCATATCCACCTCATTAAGTCCTGCATTTTAAGCAAGAACTCAAATGATGCTTGGTTGCATATATGCCTCTCATGTTTGTACCAAAATTCAATATATCATCAACATAAAGACATAAAATGATATCAAACCTTTGTAAATGTAGAATATATAATTTCTCCAAAATTATGCATATAACCACGAGACTATAAGGAAAAAAATAAATAAATTACATAATCAAATTTTTCATACCATTGCTTTGGAGCCTTTTTCAAATCATATAATGATTTGAGTAATTTATAACATGTCTGCTTACGAACCCTTATGGCTGCTTCATGCACACCTCTTCATCCAAATCCCCATTTATAATTATTGTTTTTACATTCATTTGATGTGCATGCAAACCAAGTAAATAAGATAAACTAACAATACCTAATTTATCCAATTCTAGCTACGAGTATGTGTATTATAATACTCTACTAAATCTATTTGTGTAGAGCCTTGTCCGAAAATCTGTATTGAATGATGATTAACATTCTTTTCACCTTTGGAACTAGGAGGCAATTTTTTTAAGTCCCATTCATATTATTCATTAAAGACTCTTATCATTTATTGCTTCCTTTTAAATGCTACATGTCTTTGGTTCATCATTCTCGACTTCCACATTGAGAATCATAAGAATTTTATTGGTTTTAACTTCTCTGTATCCCTCCACTATATCGTGGGGTTTGATGAAATCCTACTCCAAATTCTTCACTTTTTTAGCTCATACACTTCTTATATAAATACTAGAAACATTTGGAATTGTCTTTGCATTCACATGAATAGGATTATAACTTAATTCTATTCACAATGTTTGCAATGACTCATCAACACTTTTGGAATCACATTATAATTTTATTTAAAAAAATCTATCTCATATTCCTTAACATTTGAGTCCAAAACCATAAAGCCAATAAGCCTTTCAATTTTTCACATATCCTACAAAATTACTTGTCAAAGTTGACCTAAATTAGCTTTTCTGGGGTTAGGGACCTTATAACAAGGCTATCATCCCCAAACTCTATAATAACTAATGATATGTTTTCTTTTTCTCAAAATATTTTATGGAGATAACTTTATTTTCCTTATAGGGAATTCTATTCTCACCCTTTAGGTTAGTAGATATGGAACCGGAATATTTATCTTCATTTAAGGCAACCACTAAATGTAACATTGTCTCTTTCAATTATTGTTGGCTATCTCTGCTAAGATTAAATAAATCTTGTGATGATTTCTGAAAACCAATTTTTGCTATCATAATTGTTTTTATTTATTAATTTTTAATTTTATATTAGAGAAGAAGGGGCATTATGGGTAGTTTATAAATAGGCACCAACCATTTACTCATCCCTCACCCCTTCCCTTATATAATTGAGATATAGAAGTTGTGAGAGACATGCATTTAACTTTTCCGACTAACGGTAATTCACAGATTGCACACTAGTTAACTCTTTATTTTTATATTTTTATTTTTCAATTATATTATTATTTTTTTCGATAGAATTGATAGTGCTTTTTCTTAGTGTCAACAATGCATTGTGGGTGCAATAATTCCTTTTCACTATTTTATTTTTTTATTTTTAATTGTTAGAGTTTCAAAAATTGAATCCTCTTGGTTATGTGCCGGTGTTGGTGGATGAGGATATAGTGACTGCGGATTCATTTGCTATCATAATGGTCAGTATACGCTGTCATATTATTCAAGATGAGAGTTTGTGGCTCTTATTTTAGCATTTTAAAGTATTTACTAAAGAAGCTTCATAATTCAATACGCAGTATCTAGAAGAGAAGTACCCACAACATCTGTTGTTGCCCCAGAATCTTCAGAAAAGAGCTATCAATTACCAGGTGTAGCACATGTTTTTTCACTAAACTTGGTAATTTGAATGCATATTTTGTGTCATGTATAAGCTGTTACTATGTTAGTATGGTCTGATAGAAATTAATTCACTCTCTTGTAGTCTTGTGTTGAGGCAAACATCAATTGGGTATATACTGGTTGCACTTGCTAGTTTTTCTAACAGTTTTCATTATAAACAAATGTCATAATCATTTGAATGTCATTATTGTCACTGCCACTCTCTCTCCACGGTTCTTTGTTTCATTACTTTTTCAATCTTGTGCTAGTTTATGTGGTGTATATCTTTTGTCTTTCTATATTATAACATATGCAGGCTGCATCTCCCAGATAAATTATAAAATCGTTGATTATCAAGTATCTCTTTATGTGTGTATGTATTTGTTGTTGTATTTATTTATATATATTTATTTTTACAAATTTCTTTTTTTGTCTCTGTTCTTTCATGTTTCTATACGCCTTAAGTTAAGTTAGCAATAACGTTGTCATCAATTGCTGATAGTTTTCTTGTTAACTACTGTGACGTTGCAATTAAATTCAATATTTCCGACTTTTGTAGGCTTTTTAGGAGCATTCTGCTACTATACCTATGTGCACATGAAAATTTCACCTTTTCATCTAAAATAATCCTTCTTCTGTTAGTGTGGAATTCAGTAAACCTGGTTCCTTTTTGTATGGAAATCAAGATTAAGAGAAAGTTGGTAGAGAGAGTAACATGAAAAGCAATGTTCAAATTAATTTTGGACATCCAAAATAGAACATTATGCAATTCTTTATGAAAAGAAGGGAGTATAAGTGTATAATAATAGAGTAAGGCCGGATACAGGCTGGGTGAAGGATGTATCCGTGTAAAATGGCTGGCCTAGTAGTCCAGGCTTTTGTTGACGTGCAAACATTTCTTATCTTCACCGTTCCTTGTTTGCAAGTTGGGGGGGGGGCCAAAAAGTGTTGCTGAAAAGGTTAAATAATGTGGTGCTTTATGGTAAGAGACTAAGAGTACTTATTTTAAAATCCTATCTCACTTTTGTCTCTCTGTTTTCTAGGCTGCAAATATTGTGGCTTCAAACATACAACCTTTCCAGAACTTAGCTGTAGCGGTTAGTACTAATGTGTTTTCCATTATTTGCTATATTTTTCTGTTCTTTACCGTACCACTGTTTTCTTCTTACATTGTAGAGAAGCAAATATGATGCATTTTCTCTGAATGCAGAATTATATTGAAGAAAAACTTGGTTCTGATGAAAGGCTTTCTTGGGTGCAACATCATATCAAAAAAGGCTTTGCTGGTTAGCCTTTACTTGCTACTCTTACAGATGTTTTTTTTGTTTGAAAAGAGCCGTTCCCAAGAACTCTTTTTTATTAGATTGTTTTCCCTTCTGCTCTAAGATTCAATATTCTTGCATGATATAATTGCATTAGGCTTGCTTATGTCAAGAACCACTGTTTCTCGTTTGGATCATGCCCTTTTTCAGATATGTCCGAAGATATATATATATATATATATGTATATATATATATATATATGTACATATATGTATATATATATGTACATATATATATATATACATACATATGTATGTATATATACATACATATGTATATATATATATATATATATATATATATATATATATATGTATATATATATATACATATGTATATATATATATACATATGTACATATATATATACATATGTATATATATATATATATATATATATATATATCTGCTATATACAGTTGCTGGGAACTATATATGCTTGAATGCTGACACAAACAATGAAATAAAGCAGTTGCTTTATTTTATTTTTCATGTACTAGATAATTTGTCAAAGTACAAATCACAAATTCACCTCTAACCACTATAGAGTTGCAAAGCCATTGTGTTGTCTAACTTCTGTGAGACCAATATTAGTTGTGAACTTGTTATTATGAGAACAATGCCTGTTTGGCATGGACGACCAAGGACCTAGCTTAATTCTCACTTCTATTATAATAGACTGAAGTGAAAGAACTTGTAAATAAAGCAGATCGGAAATAATATGGGCTCACCCACATGTTTATGTAAGAGTGGATAGGAGTACCAAGGTATGATAATGACTACTAAAATACCTAAGAAACTATTTAACTTGCTCTCTTGCCAAAAAATTATTCTAAAATCCAACGAGGCTTATTAACTTAATTTGGCCACAATTTACTAAAATAAGATAGTTATCCAGTTATTGCCACTGCTACTCTACTTTTTGTTGGCACTTACCGAGGAGCTAGTATAGATGAGTTGGGAATGGGCATGTTTATAAATGATTGTTTTGTCCTAAATTCAGCTTGGGTTTGATCTGTTTACTTTTGTTTATGTATTTTTACCTCATGTCCAAAGAATGGCTGAAGAAGTTGGTGTACATCTTTCGAATTGACAAAAAATGTTGTCAACTATGTGCAAACTTCCACCAGTCAATGCATGCTGTGACAAAATTTTGAGTTTCATGTGGCAATGATATCGGTTTGACCCTTAATTGTTTTCCGTTTTGCTTTTAACTTCAGCATTAGAGAAGCTATTAACTGGACACACTGGCAAATATGCTACTGGGGATGAAGTTGCCTTGGTTTGTCTCTCGGTCTATCCCGCTAGCATTTAATTATAAAATAGAATTGCAATCTGATAACATTTCTATTGTTGAGCATTATCCTATTCTCCTTTCCTTTTTTTTTTGGGGGGGGGGGGGGGGAGGTTGAGGATAGTGTTTAATTTTATACATTAAGGCTCCTGCTCCTCGAGTGAGACGGTTAGGTTATGGTAGATGAAGGTCTGATATTTGATGGACCTATCACCTATGGTCTTTTCAGTAATGTAATGCAGATTATTTGACTATATCAGGCAGACTTGTTCCTAGCTCCCCAAATTGCAGGAGCAGTTAAGAGATTCAACATAAACATGGTATTATTAGCTTTTTTCAATTTCATATTATTTTGTTCATGTTTCATAATAAAAGTGTCTTCTTTTTTCCTGTACTTAACAGATTGCCATTGATTTATATTATGGTACTTATTAAATTCCTGCAAAGAAATAGTTATCTATTTTCTTGGAATGTTCTCAGGCCGAGTTCCCATTATTAGAGAAGTTAAATGGTGCTTATTCTGAACTACCAGCGTTTCAGAGCGCTGAGCCAGGAAAACAACCAGATGCCCCAGATAATGCCAAATCCTAGGTTAGTTGATTGATCTCATATCAGTAAAATATACTTGAATGAAGAGAATATTCATACACGGAGCCTATGATAAAGAATTTCTGTCAGAAACCTTCCTAAATCTAACTCACTTTGATTCTAGCACTACTAATTTACTAATTGATAACAAAGCGTGTGGCCTCAAACTTCTGGTGCTGTAAGATGGTGTGATTATTTTCAATTCCTCAAATTGGTAGTGTTGTAGTGCAGAAAATTAGTTACAGGATTATCCTTCAAGAAAGTTGGGTGGCTTTTTTACTTGTTTTTTTTATTAATTGATTTTTTTTTTTGGTCGGGGGAGGGGGGGGGGATCTATTATAGAAAGAACAGAAATAACAAGTTTTGTAGAAGGTCAAGATTCAACAGCAATGATGTAACCCTCTACCCTAATTTATGAAGGGGTCGAATATAGATGTGGAGAATTTGCTAGAAACCCATTTAAATGTAGAGTTGAAGAAACTAATTGCAGATTCAGAAAGTTAACCCCGACCTCCCCCGCTGCTCAATTTGAAGGATAAATTGGAATATAGGTTCAACTTTGGAAGTAGAGAGTGGCAAGTCAATTATGTTTGTATTTCTTATTCAGTTGGAGGTGGTACGAATCAATGATCTTTTTGCAAAGCCATTGAGTTATTCCTCCAAAAGTAGTTATGTTAGTATCCATTATACTTTGAGTTCAACTCAAAGAGGATGGCGGAATGGTGTACTACAAAAAATATAGGACATTAGTGTAGGAGTTTATAGGTATGATTGCGGAAGACATGAATCATATTCATATATCACCTATTCCCAAGATCATGCATAACACATAAAGAATTAGAATTAATATCTTTGTAGCGTGATTCCACGTATGATCGAGCAAGAACAATAAGGAGAATAAGAACCACACGTGTGATTCCTCTACTAAGTCTACGAGCACGAATCAAACCTCCACTAATGCTAGTTAGTTATGATCGAACATTTCAATCAATCTTTGACGAAGATGTGAGTCACGAGCACACCACAAACCACCCAAACAACCACCACACACGCCACCCAAGAGGGGCGGCCGTACGGACAGGGAGGAGAGAGAGAGGGTCGAGTTGAGAGAGAGAATTATGGTTTTTGGGAGTTTGTTGCCTGGTTCACAATTAACAGTTAATTATTATGTCATACAACCCTAGACATGGGTTATATTTATAGATCTCATCTCTAAATAAATCCATGTCAAGCTCAAAACATTCTAAGCTCATCAAACTATCCTAGCCCAACAATTAATGTGGCATGTCATAAACTCATGAGGCCCAATAATGGACATCTAACTTTTTTGACCCAATGCTCTTGTGTGTGACCTTATAGGATCCATTCTATAAGGCTTTGGACTATTTAACTAGCCCAAAGATCAATTGTCATATCTAGCACCAAACATTGACGACCCTATAGAATGAACTAATTATTACCATAATCGTGATCCTTGATATATCTAGTAATTGCACTTATCGAAGGCATAACTCCTTCAATCTCCCACTTGTCCGAGACAAGTGCGCAATATTCAAATTCCTAAAGTAAATGTGTATCGATTTGATAATATGATTGCATCTCATGTCGTGATCATATTAATCTACCAATCTTTTCTTGGAAATTGAGTTAGAATTACAAAACAAATGATTACTATTTAATCCATTTGAGTACGACTATGCATTTTCTGAATTCTCGCTCCTCAAGGGGCTAAGACACATTCCTAATTAAATAGGTAGACTTAATCTAATCTTGTGGCAACCAAAGCTCCCACTCAACTCATGAAGTAATCGGGAAACACACTTTATAATCTCCAGTTACGGACAGACGTTTGAGTGTACCACAGTTAAATCAATCATTGAATGGAATCAATATTCCACTCAATTCAAAGGAATCCACTAATATATCCAGAAGTTCTATACTTGAACTTCAAAATATGTCTATAGTTCGATCATGCATCATTCATGCATATCCATGTGATTGACCGAGCGTCATCACTATGCCCCTATAGCCCATGAAACTGCGCTATCCAATCAATCTTACATGCTAGTCCATTTATTGAAATCATTTATGTCCACTTTAATGATTCTGAACTAGAAACTAAATAATATATGAATTTTGTTGACCTTTGATGAGCCCATCAATCCATAATTATTTTGAACATTTTATTTAATATCGAAAACCATAATTAAATAAGAGAAATAATGAATTTCTGATTCAACATAATTCTGCCAATGAATGTATTACATATGTAATAAGTTTTTCTCAAAAACAAATACAACTTAAATTACATCATTAGCCTCAATCCATTTGCATTATCATGTTTCTCATGCTTGGGCAATGGAAGGGGTTTAGTAAGTGGATCAGCGATATTCTCATTCGTATGAACTTTGCACATCTTTACATATCCTCTGCCAACGATTTCTCGAATGAAATGATACTTCCTTTGAACATGTTTGGATTTGAAGTGTGACCTAGGCTCCTTTGATTAAGCAGTGGTGTCATTGTTGTCACAATACAACTCGATTCCTTTTTGAGCACTTAGTACAATGTCCATCTCAATTAGGAATTTCTTAATCCAAACTGCTTTCTTAGCTGCTTCAATAGCAGCTAAATACTCCGATTCTGTCGTAGAGTCTGTGACAATGCTTTGCTTTGAACTCTTCCAGCTCACTGCTCCTCCATTAAAATGTGGGCTTTGAAATCATCTTTGTCTGTTTGGAAACTCGCATCCGTATAACCTTTGACAACCAACTTATCTTCGCCGCCGTATTCTAGAAACATTCCTATAGTCCTGCACAAGTACTTAAGTGAGTGTGCTTCTCTTGGATTTGCCTGAAATCTGCTACACATGCTTAGAGCATATGAAACATCTGGACTTGTACATATCATAGCATACATGATTGACCCTATTGTCGAAGCATAAGGTTTATCAACAATACGTCTCATCTCTTTTGGCGTTTTAGGGCACTGAGATTTACTAAGCGTAATGCCATGAGACATGGGGAGAAATCCTCTCTTAGAGTCTTTCATCGAAAATCTGTGAAGAACCTTATGAACATAAGTCTCTTAACTTAATCCAATCATCCTTCGAGACCTGTCTCGATGGACCTTGATTCCCAAAATGTACTCGGCGTCGCCTAAGTCTTTCATGAAGAAATAACTTTTCAATCACTTATTGACTGACCCAAGCATTGGTATGTCGTTCCCCGTGAGCAGTATGTCATCTACATACAAGACTAAGAAAACTATGCTTCTACCACTGGACTTCTTGTATATACAAGGTTACTCTTCGCTTTTGAGGAAATCAAATTGTTTAATCGCTTCATCAAAACGAAGGTTCCAACTCTTTGATGCTTGCTTCAATCCATTATTGGATTTTTGAAGTTTGCATACCTTTTCAGGATTTTTTGGATCTTCAAAACTCTAGAGGTTGTGTCATATACACTTCCTCCGTCAAGAACCCATTCAAGAAGGCGGTTTTGACATCCATCTGCCAAATTTCGTAATCGAAAAATGCAGCAATCGCTAGAAGAATCCGAATGGACTTAAGCATTGCTACTGGAGAAAAGCTTTCATCATAGTCAATACCATGAATCTGTCTGTACCCTTTTGCAACCAGTCTTGCTTTATAGATGTAGGCATTTCCATCCTTGTCTGTTTTAATCTTGTAAACCCACTTGCAACCAATAGGTTTTACCCCATTAGGCAAGTCCAACAGGGTCCACACAACATTTTCAGGCATCGATTTCATTTCGGATTTCATGGCTTTAAGCCATTCATTTGAGTTGGGGCTCACCAAAGCTTGCTTGTAGGTTGTTGGTTTCTCATTCTCTATTAAGAAGATTTCAGAATCCTCGGTTAACAGAATTTCAACAAACTGTTTGTTTTAAATTTTGGCAGACCTACGTGGGGTAGGAGCAACAATAGAAATGTTTCTCTTCAACTCTTTGAAGATTTTCGCAAGAATTAGATTCAAGTGGGGCGATAGGAGTCTTGCTAATCGAATTAGCTTGCTCCGACGCATGATTATGCGCCCTCGCCTTTGATATGGTGTTATCCACATCCATTTGTTGCTCGTCTCGAATTTCTTCGAGAACTACTTTACTCCCACTTGGCTTTCTAGAGAGGAATTCCTTTTCTAGAAAGACACCATCGTGAGCAATAAACACTTTGTTATCTTCACGATTGTAGATTTAATACCCTTTTGTTTTTTTTGGGATAACCCACAAAGAAACATTTGTCTGATTTAGGGCCAAATTTGTCGCTTTGTAAACGTTTTACATAGACCTCACAACCCGAAACCTTGAGATAAGACAACTTTGGAACTTTTCCGTTCCATAATTCATATGGTATCTTCTCAACTGCTTTGGATGGGCTTCTGTTTAGTATGTCCACAACTGCTTCTAATGCATATCCCCAGAATGATATGTGAAGATCAGTAAAGCTCGATCATGGACCGAACCATATCTAGTAAGGTCCTATTCCTCCTTTTTGACACACCATTTAACTGTAGTGTCCCTTGAGGAGTTAATTGTGAAAGTATTCCATAATTAATCAGATGTTCATCAAATTCTTGAGTCAAATATTCACCACCACGATCGGATTGTAGTACTTTAATTGCCCTCCCAAGTTGGTTTTGTACCTTATTCTAGAATTCCTTGAACTTTTCAAAGGATTTCGACTTGTGTTTCATTAAATAGATATAACCATACCTACTTAAATCATCAGTGAAGCTAATGTAGCTATAACCACCTCTAGCTTTTGAACTCATTGGTCCATATACATCTGTATGTGTGAGGCCCAAAAGGTTACTAGCTCTTTCACCTTTTCCAGTAAAAGGCGATTTGGTCATTTTACCTAACAAGCATGACTCACAATTCTCAAACGATTCGTAATCAAATGAAGTTAGGAGTCCATCCTTACGTAATTTCTGGATGCGCGATTGGTTTATATGACTTAACCTACAATGCCATAAATAGGTT